TCAACACGATAATGCCAGACCACATTCTGCAGCAATCACAACATCATGGCTACGTAGGAGAAGGATCCGGGTACTGAAATGGCCAGCCTGCAGTCCAGATCTTTCACCTATAGAGAACATTTGGCGCATCATAAAGAGGAAGGTGCGACAAAGAAGGCCCAAGATGATTGAACAGTTAGAGGCCTGTATTAGACATGAATGGGAGAGCATTCCTATTTCTAAACTTGAGAAACTGGTCTCCTCTGTCCCCAGACGTCTGTTGAGTGTTGTAAGAAGAAGGGGGGATGCCACACAGTGGTAAAAATGGACTTGTCCCAACTTTTTTGGGATTTGTTGACGCCATGAAATTTGGAAACAACAGATTTTTCCCTTAAAATGATACATTCTCTCAGTTTAAACTTTTGATCTGTGATTTGTGTTCTATTCTGAATAAAATATTAGATGTTGGCACCTCCACATCATTGCATTCAGTTTTTATTCACAATTCGTTTAGTGTCCCAACTTTTTTGGAATCCGGTTTGTACTACATGAGCTAAGGAGCTTTAATATCAGGAAACACCCTGCAATTGAAATACAGGTCACTTCTTAAAAGTGTTAAATCCTTTAATATAACTCTTATTAACTGTCTCCTAACCAGAGACAGGAACAAGTTGCAGCAGGTGATCAAACAGGCTGGTAAATTATTTTCTGATCAGCAAATGTGACAAACTGAAAAAGCATCCATCCTTCCATCCATCCATCCATCCTTCCATCCATCCATCCATCCATCCATCCATCCATCCATCCATCCATCCATCCATTATCTTTACCCGCTTCTTCCTTTTTGGATCACGGGTCACTGTTACCCATGTCCAGCAGTCACTGTGCGAGAAGAGGGTGACACCCTGGACAGTATCCAGTCCATCACAGGGACACATAGAGAAAAACGAGACAACCACTCACTCGCACTCACACCTAGGGACAATTTAGAGTTACCAATCAGTCTAACATGCATGTTTTTGGTCTGTGGGAGGAAACCAGAGTACCCAGACAAAACCCACGCACCACGGAGATGACATGCAAACTCCACACAGAAAAGTCCTGGTCTGGATTTGATCCAGTGACCTTCTCACTAAGAGACAGAAGCTCTACCATCTGTGCCACCGTGCTGCCCTGCATAATCAGTTTCTGTACAATAATACAATCTAGGTTTTCAATAACCCAACCCTGCAACTATCATTCAAGTTGCTGTCATCTCACAAGAGAATGACGGTCCCACTAACAAAGAACAGAAACAGAAAACCATTTGTTCCTTTTGCTATTTTCACCCTGAACAGGGTTCTGTTGTAAAGTTATTCTTATATCAAATGATAACCATGGCCCACTGTGATGTTTTTATGATTGATCATAGATTTACCCTAGTGCTTTTGTTATTGCTGTAGAAATGCTTTAACGATGTTTTTAGTTTTTTTTATTACTCGTTTAATTGGTTATTTGCTATATTTGTGAGCAAGCAATCAAAGACAAGTCTCCATTTCATAATATGTTATGGTCCAAAAAGTTGATTGATTAATTGATGAAAAATACACAGCTAAATCACCAAAAATATCTAAGAACATATTCTGAAATGTCCTGATGCATGCTCAATATCCATTATTCTGAAATGGCTTTCTGAGCCATAATCTAAATATTATGGAAAATATGTGGAAGGTGCTGAAACAGGAGCTGGAGAAGGAAACTTTCTAACCTGAGACAGCTGGAGCAGTTTCCTCAGGAGGACTGAGGCAATCTATCTGTGGACAGGTGAGTTGCAGAAATCCCTCGATTGCACTGATCGCCTGCAATCGAGGAGAATCGTGCAACAAGGCTGTCATTAAAGGTATCATTCTTTTCATCAAGGGAATGTTAATTTAAACACTTTTATGTTCATAATCCTGTTGAACTAAAAATATAAAAGCAATGAGCGATTCAAACGGGAGTTGATCTGAAAATGCAGCCATTTCCCAAGAGAAACAACTGCACCAAAATAAAAAGACTAGGACGAAAAGCAGGACAGACTGTGTGCATGATTTCAAGCTTCCTCTTCTACCACAAGCACACAGGGGAGTCTGTTGTGCTATGCAGAGTGGCAGTATGGTGAGATAATCTCTCACCGTGACAGGCTACACTGCTGGGACAGGCATCCACACTGCAGCGGCTAGAATGTCACTAATGGGCTTCAACCCTGCCCAGTACATCACCATGATGTCCCTTCAGATAAGAAACCTCTTGCATGTCAGCTGTGATAAACATACGCAGATGCAGAGACTACAAGTCGTACACGTGAACACAAGTTCACAAGTGTACAAAGCCGTCATATTTCATCTGTTCTCAGCAGCAATAACTCGCCTGTCGATGGCATCTCACACCTGCTTGAACTACTTAGATTGAGCTATTTGTTACAAACATCAAACTGTGTGTGTCAACCTCTATTAGCTGAAAGTGTGCTTAGTGTCAGTTTTCCTTTTTTCCATGGTTTAATGGAAACACATTCAACTTGACAACTTTTAAGCAAAACAAACAAAAACTAGGAACAGGAAAAGTTATCAGACTTCCTTAAATATATACAGAGCGCACACCAAAGCCTCTTTTGTAACATTACATAAAAAGTTACCATTTTCTTAACCTTTCCGCTGCTCCCTTTAGTGGATGCCACAGTTTAATGTTTGCCCCCATCTCACCTTATCCAGCATCCTCCTCTGTCACAGCAGCTGCCTGCATGTCCTCCTTCATTACACTCATGAAGTTTTTCTTCTTGTCTTTCTTCTTTCCTTCCCTCTGGTGACTCTATATTCAAGATCCTTTGTTCAATATGTCCATTATCCCTTCTCTGCACCATAGGCATCACATTAATTATATGTGATGGGGCCATGTCCCCCTCACATTTAAAAAATACATTCACCCCCCTCCACACTCACACATTTACCATGAAATATTACTTCTTGGTAAGTAATTTCTCTTGCAATATTCTAAACAATCTTTCTAATCTCTAAATGAGCACAGATTGTCAAGATCTGTGCTCTCTGCCTCTGGCTGCACTCTTGGCCACGCCCACTTCTCCGCTATGCACGAGATCAGCTGATCAGGAAGCTTCTCCCACAGCTGTGGGCTGCACACTGGTGCTAAATAATTAAAATAATTAATTTTTAATCAAAATTCCATGCAGATCTTGCGGATCATCCATCAATCAGCCAATTGTGTGTCATGTCTATTCTTATTTTGAAAAATCGCAATAGAGCGAGTCCGCGAAAAATAAACCGCGAAGTAGCGAGGGACTACTGTACCCCAATGATGAGGTGGATTTTTCACACGATGTTTTGCAATAGAAAAACTCTTATTTTTCACTATAATCTACCACAATCTGTCATGTGATTTAAAACCACTGTCCACCATTTCCACATAATATTGCAACATTACTAAAGAAAATAAATATGCAATTTGAAATGTGTACATGTACTCATCTAATAAACATTTGTAAATTTTGTTGTATGCTTGTGTGACAACTTTTGAGATGATTTATTTTCATACTTTCATGATCGAAAGCCAACATGAATAGGAAGAAAGGCCAACTCTTCTAATTATAATGTATTTGTGCAATTGTTATCCATGTTTTAATATATTTTTACCTCACCTCAACATTAAGTTTTGTTTAGTCTTTTCTTTGGGGTTGCAAGTGAACTCTCATGAAAGATTTGCCATTTGTTTTGGACGACTTACTCTTCCTGACGTAACTTGGACTTAAACCTGGAGCCTCAGGATTAAGAGACCGCGGCACTAACCACCGAGCTACTGCGGTCCTCCTCAACTTCAAGTTTTATGAGAAAAAAATAACAAGTGAGATGAGACAGCAGCAGAGTGAAGACGTTTCAGGCCCTCACGGTACTTTGTGGAGCTGATCCAGTCTGTCAGAAGCAGATGGACTGAGAGAGAGTTCGACAGGTTTTCTGATCAAAGCAGCTCGCGTGTCAGGCCATCACTCTCAGATTGCTTTCGCTGCATAAGGAGAGCTTGATCTTGAGTGGCAGACGGTTACACAGTCCTCAGAGTTGATGGGGTGGGGGGGGTCAATATTCCTGTTCCCGTCTTTTATCTTCCATCTATTCAACTCAATCCATCCATCAGCGCCTCACCTCCAGAAGTTTGAGTGCAGCACATGAATAAAACTGGCAGGGATATTACAGCAGAGTCTCGTCTCGTTAAAGCTTGATTCGATCAATACGGTGAAAGATAAAGACGGGGGAGAAACAATCCTGATGGATGAAGAGATGATGAAGTTATTGACTACAGACGTCCATTAACCTCTCTTTTGTTCAAATAACGCTCAATCATGCGTTCGTTTCTGTTCAGTTTGCTCGAGTCACTGTGGTCAAAGTGTGTTAATGTGTTAGTAAACCCTCTGCAGAGTCTGCAGGCCTCCACCCCTTTATTCATTAATCCATCTCAGTTACCCACTGTTGTTAAAACACAGCTGGATCTTTAATCTACGCCTGTCCATCAAGCTTTTCCTGCACTCCTGAAGCAGCTCACCGCACAGAGAACTGCAGCAAACAACTTGTTAAAGTTTCTTCTTACCAACATTCTCATGCTATTTATTTCTCTTTCGACTACTCCCTTCGTCGGGGGTCACCAGAGTGAGCAAGCTTCCATAAAAAGTTTTGTGGGGATTTATTTTTATATTTTTTTTTGCAGGATGCCCTAGCCCTTCCTGACATAACCTGGATTTGAACCTGCAGCCTCAGGATTACACAACTGCAGCGCTGACAGGCCATCTGTGAATTTTCTTATTCTTTTTTAGACAAATGTCTGCGCGCTGTGTGGAAAGAATTCCCAGAAAACTACTTAAATCGATTTAAAAGGTTTGAATTGAAACATAGGGTGTTAAGTTCAGTTTTTTAAATTATTATTATTCATTTATTTAATTGCAAAAATGTGTTTTCTTATTGACGTCTGATAACCTGATGACGTGTGTATTTTCTCCTCACCTTCCTTCAGCTGCAGCAGAACTGTGCTGTCGCTGGGATCGCAGCTGAAGTAACCTCCACCCTGGTCGTCCCAAAACAGCACATCCTGCCGGAGCTGCAGCTCCTCCGCCCACTGCAGCCATTCTGTTTGCAGCGTGGCCTCATACAGATCCAGCAGGCCACCAACGATGAAGGCAAAGTCATCCAGGAAGCCAGAGATAGGTGGAGATCTGAGCAACACAGAGGGAAAGAAGAAGTGGGAAGAGAGCTGGGTTACCACTGGTGAACAAGTTCCATATTTTCACATTAATTTATTTACGTGTAGATCGATGTTTGTTTATACTGCCTGAAAAGAAAATGGCCAAGATTACAGACAAGAATAATAAAGAAATCCAGGAGAACTGATTCAAAGGTGCAAATGGCCTGAAGAAATGCATCTAAACAGAGCTGGCTTGTCATGCAAAATGATAAAGAATCATTAGAGTTACTCAAAATAAAAGAAAATGTTGATGTTGTTGATTCTGAGTTTTGAAATTAAAGGAAAAATGTCAAAAATAAAGTTTAACTGATAGAAATAAAGTTTTTCTGTGAATAAAATGATAAAAACCAAATCATGATTGGCTCAAAGACTTACTAAAGATGTACTTTTTTGTATTGACTTCAACCTTCGTTTTAACAATAAAAAATATTATTAAAAAGGGAAGCACAGTGGCGCAAGTGGTAGAGCTGCTGCCTCTCGGTGAACAGGCTACCTTGGATCAAATCCCGGCCCGGGAGCATTTCTGGGTGGAGTTTGTATGTTCTCACCGTGCTGCGTGGATTTTCTCCGGGTACTCCAGTTTCCTCCCACAGACCAAAAACATGTATGTTAGGCTGATTGGTGACTCTAAATTGTCCCTAGGTGTGAGTGAGAGTGAATGGTTGTCTCATTTGTCTCTACGTGTCCCTGTGATGGACTGGAGTCCAGGGTCAGTGACGTGCGGTGAGCTTTGTGACAGGTGAGGCACTGACTGTCTGGAATCGGATGCTCACATATATGAACCAAAAATAGAAGCTTATATTTCAACATACATTGTTTTAAAATGATTAGAACATGTTTGACACATCATTGTGCAGAGATGTTCCTCAACTCAATGATTTTTTCACATTTGTCTTATGGAGCTACTCTCTGGTCACAGACTCACCAAACTGCACTTAAACCAATGAAAATTCTCTACAATTGGACCTTGAAGGTTTTATATCAAAAGCCAATCAGATTTCATCACTGTAATATTTTAGCTAAGTTTGGAATTCTAGAATTTTCCAATTTTATAAATTCCAATTTTTTTTTTAAAATTGATCCTCAGATGCTTAAATGGACTTGCACCCAAACCATTAAGCAATTACACAGAAACTGCAGGGCTACAGCAGATCTACCAGAGCAGCTTTAAATGGCGACTGTAAGGTTCCTTTTCGTAGAAACACTTTTGTTCAAAGTGCTCTCTCTGTGAGAGGATCCACAATTTGGAACTCACTCCCTGTCAATTTAAAGTCTGTAACCAGATTCAATATGTTTAAAAACAAACTAAACTCTGGCTGTGTCAAAAACAGCATTGCATTTATCCTTAATGTATTTTATTGTTATGGTTTTAATCCATTTGTTTTATGTGTATGACTCATCTAATTTAGAAAAATCCTTTAGTTTTGAGGTATGATCTTCCATTTTGTCTAAACAAATTTAAATGAGTGTACCATTTGCTTCACCCCTGCCCCTCTGTGTAACAGAAGGACGCACAGAGACTGCACCCGCTTCATTGTCCCTAAGGGGCAGCACTGCCCCCTATCGGTGCGGCAAGGTATATGCTGCCGCACCTCTTGTGTGTTTTTCAGCGTGCGTTATGACTGATTAGAAAGAATATTCATTCAACATATTAGACAGACTGTTGAACATCAACATGTGCAGCACATGTGTAATCAAACATGTATATTGGTGATATAAAGAGAGACAGCAATGGGCATGCTCCAACCACCTACGTCATTTAATGTATATAACACAGTGCCCCCAGAGGTGAACCAGAGCACTACATTGCCTCACCCCACATTGTTTGAACAGGCAATGTGTAAATTCCACGATTTTGACCATTGAAGTGTTGAAATGATTCAGAAAACAGTTTTATAGAAGAGTTAGTCAAATTAATTTTCTCTTATCGTCAGTATTTTTCTTGTCATGATGACAGGTGAGGCAGTGCCTCCATCACAGGTTAAAGAACTGTGAGATAAAGTTAGAGAGACCAGACTGAGATGGTTTGAACATGTCCAGAGGAGGGACAGTGGTTTGGTCTTGTTCAGAGGAGGGACAGTGGTTTGGTCTTGTTCAGAGAAGGGACAGTAGTTTGGACATGTCCAGAGGAGGGACAGTAGTTTCTAGAGGAGGGACAGTGCTTTGGTCTAATCCAGAGGAGGGACAGTAGTTTGGACATGTCCAGAGGAGGGACAGTGGTTTGGACATGCCCAGAGGAGGGACAGTGGTTTGGACATGTCCAGAGGAGGGACAGTGG